CAATGAGAGACTATTTGATCTGTTTGTCCAATATTGCAGATTCTAAATTGATGGCATGATGAGAAATAACAGTGAAAATGTCAAGCTTGTACCTTCAAGAGTTCCTGAGATTATTGAAAAACAAAAAAGGTTCAGGCAAATCAGAGCTGGTCAAGCAAACGGCCTCTGATGATTTAAGATGGAATAACCCCAATAGAATTAGCACAGATTCAACATGGCCAGTATCTGACCAAATGCAAAATGTGGTCACAATCTGTCCTTCTGTTCCTGAGGTTTGATATTGAAAAAAGGATAATAAAGTTTTTCTTTTTTTTTTTTTCCAGAACATCATGATGTCACCAAGATGTTAACCTTTGACCTTTTGGATATAAACTATCATAACTCATTTTATCCTGTTATTTTATTTCATAAAAAATATGGCATAATTTCTTAAGATATAGTCAAAAATATGGTTTGTGAATTCTCACTTTGAACACCATCATCTAATCAGTTCATCATTGAGTCCAAGTACATTTGTGGCCCAAATTTGAAGGAATTTCTTCAAGGCACTCTGACATTTCATGTTCACAAAAATGATATGGACAAGTAGACAACATAATGCCTCCCACCAACAATGTCGCTGCTGCAGAGGCATAAAGATTTAAAACATTTTTTAGTAGCCTGTTAAGTGAAAAACAAAAGATGATTGGTTTGTTGAGTGTGCAGGTTTTGGTGGCATTTTGGCATTGGAATAAACAAAATATTTTTTCTGGATCTGAATTTAATTTCCTCAGCTGAAATTGTATTTACTGCATGCTGATTCAGTATAGATTGTAGTTTTTAGGTTAAATTCTGTAGTTTAAATGTCATGGATCCAGTCAGGAAGACAAAGAAGTTTAACAAAAGGTACAAGCTATGAAAGCGCACGAGTATAAATCTATCTTTTATGAAAAAAGCCAGCATTTCAGAATATTTCCCGGTGTACATAACTTGCTAGTGTGAAAATGGAAGTGACCCACACAGTTCACTTCATTCAGCTGGTAATCTCTTGTAAGCAGATATTCAACAAGAGGTTTCCTTTCTGCCCTTTCCACAGAGATGGAGGGGAAAGCCTGGAAGCTGAGGATTCACTGCAGCCATTTCAATAATCTGTCCAGATATAAAAACAAATAACACAACCAAGTATTCCAGACAACATCTGGCCTACTGTGTTTTCATGAGGAGTAGCAGGTGTTATTCCTCCTCTGCTGCAAACTGGTTATGGTATAATAATAGTAAAAAAAAAAATGCCTTCATCATATAGCATGTTGACAACATACCAGTGAATTTAATCATTTAAAGTTGTACAGTAAGTTCATCTCGCTGCCTCCTGCTGTTTTAGTTCAAAGCTTTTCATCTCAAACACAGTTCCATGTTTCCTTCGGACGCTGAGAAACTAAACGATTAGACTTTGGAGGACCAAGAGGTATGGCTGTAATCTGCTTGCAGTCTGAGAAGGGCATTTAGGAATCATGAGGACATCCATGTTTGTTCCCTTCGGTTATGTAAAAGCCTCAGAGGGAGTGGCCCAACCGTGGAGGGGATCATTGCCCCAGGTTGTCTGTCCGCTGGTGAGTCTGCACGCCATTGCATAAGGCTCTTTTCCTGACACATGTCCACGTATGCTGTCCCGAGTCCAAGGGATTTCTGACTAACTCTGACTAACTCTGCCCTCATTAGCATGGCGTATGCTTATATATTTGAGTTGAATAAATAAATACACTATTTTATATATTCACATAAATTTTATGTTTTGTTAATCTTGTTTGTTATATTTATTCTGTTTTCCATCGAAGGGAGAGAGAACGCTCTCAAGTAAAACACAGTCTGTAACTTAAACTGTTGCTGCTTCAATTTCATTAAATGATTCACTTTTTGATTAGTTTTTTGTAATTAATTCATTAGAGAACAATGATTATTTTGTGCACAACTGTTCTCAGACATAGAAAAAGAATAATAAATAATAAAATGTAAATTAATAAATGAAGTTATTGTTTTTGGGGGGTGCGTTAAATCATGGCAAAGACTTTCATCTGTTTTGAGTTTTACAGATGAGTTTTGTACATTTTAAAGAATAAAATTTTTGTTTTTTCTATAATTATTCCATATTGTTTGATGATTACTGACTATGATGCAAGCATGTGCTGCGTATGTTTGTGCTGAATTGTTAAAAATGCTGGTGATCCTTGCTCCAGCATGACCGGATGAATTAAGTAACCACCTGTGCGTGCGGTGTGTTGGTTGTGTGTATGTCATCTCCACACAGAGCAGGACTATTAGAGCTGACCTACTCGGGCTGTCATGAGTGCTGCACACAGCCCTTTATTCCTGCCCTTCTCTCCTGCCAATCTCTAAAGAGGCCGGGAGAATAGATGGCCCCCAGCGACAGCCATTGACAAGTAAGAGTTACTTAAAGGAGTGTCAGCGGGGATCAGTCAGAAGGGTTTAATATTAAATGAAAGACAGGCTCGGGTTCGCTCTCCTCTATTAAGGCAGAACATTAGAGCTTCAATTACTGCTGGAAAGGATTACCAGCAATTCAGGGCACAGAAGACACACATAGATGCAGTAGAGAGAATCCTTGCAGTGTTTCCGTTCGTCTTTGACAGACAAAGGTGAGGTCTTAATGAGACAGACTAATTCTCCTTCTCTTTAAGCACAATTTTACACAATTAGTTTTAATTTAGCCTCCACCAGCTAGCTTTTGCATAATCCTGCTGACAGACAGTCAAATGGTTGTCCGTGGCTTCAGCTGTGTAAATGCCGAATCATGACCCAAAAGTTAGAGTTGAACCTGCAGGCACAAAAACTAAAGACTGATAAACATATGAATTCATGCTCAGCTGGATTTTTTTTTCTACAATTTTTTCTTAAGGATAAAGTGCCCTCCAAAAGTACTTTAACAGGAGAATTTTACTTCACTTTTTCTTTTGAAAGGAGCTATATATCAGTGCTAAACAATTAATCGAAAATTGCAATATGGTCAAAAGCAGGCAATTATTGTATAAAAAGGTAAAAACGTGACACAACATGCCAACATTTTCATTATAAGTGAAGCATTTTGGTGCTGCAGAGATGCTCTGGCCTACAAATCATTACTCTCCAGATGTAAGAGAACCTGCTGGTTTGGTAGAAACTGCAGCACATAACACGTCATCATTTTTGTTTTTTTGGTCAGCAAAAAAAAAAAGATGCAAAATTTACCATTCCTACTAAAAAAAAGAGTAATATTGCAATATCTGTCAAAATGAAGACATTTTTGCACATCATTCAGCCCTACTGTACATATGAACAACTTATTTCAACATAATTTTGGAGGACATTTTGTACAAATATGCAAATGTAGACAAAACGTAAAAGGATGTCAGTTATATTCATGCATTATTTTTATAAAGTGCATCTAAATATCATTTTAAACATTTGTGTATTAGCCACAATAATCTGTCGGACAAACAAAAAGGTTACTACTGTGGAAAAAAAATGTTAGAGAAATTAATTTCTCTGGAAAGATATTACTAGTTTGCTATATAATACATGGGTACAATATATGGCATAAAGTTTGTATATAAACGTCTTTTATTTACAGCCTATCATTACGTGAACTCTGATGATGACTTGACCTCATGTGTAGCAGCACTTTGGCTCCTGGGACACTGGTTTAAATTGATTATTTTACCACACAGTGCTCTAGTTAATTGTCCTGGCAAAGACCTACTTAGACACAACGTGGTATTTGGCACCTTTCAGCCAATTAATGGTCTACTTCGTGATGCATGTGTAACTATAGCAGCAGCAGCAACTAATCCCACTGACACATGAGAGCTGGTAACGGACGACATAGTGTGCTTTGACTGTACCCAAACCATACATGAGCACAAGGAAAATACAACCGAGAAATACCTTCTCCTGTGGCTGTTGTAGTGCAACGAAATTAAGCTTTAAAACACTGAACTTTGTCGCATCCATACTGTCATTACTGACAAATGGGTCTTATTGCGGAAAAGAACATCTCTTCTTTTTGACTCAGGGTGATCCAACTGAGTGCAAACAGAGTTCAAGTGAAAGCCTTTCGATTGAACTTCTATTATAATCATTCATGTTTTCATTAAATCTGGTGTAAATCCATGTGCTCAGGGCTTGCTATGACCACACTGTAGGATGCTTAAGAGATCACGGAAGACCCATCTTTCACGTTACAGAAGTATTCTTGGACAAAACTTTTATTTCTAACACCCGTATTTTTATTTCACTTATTTCAACTTCACTATTTTTTCCCTTATTCAAATAACGGGGTCAAATTAAACACAAGGTGAGAATTAGATGGTTTCCACCTGCAATCGAATACAGTATATGTTTCATGCATGAGGTTGCAGATTTGTTGACAGTATGCAAGAGGAGAAAAGATCAAGCTAATCAGGGCCAGAGGTGTGGTTGTCCAGATCACACTGACCTGACCCGCTTCTATTGGGTTTACTTAAAAACAACCGCAGACAGCCAGCAGGCCACACACACCTCTCCTTCTGTTACTGGGAACCAGAACCTAATACTGGAAGGAGCAGCACTAGATGTAATTAACGAGAGAGCGACTGGAGCTGCAGAAGAAACATGGCACAAAGAGCTTTGTGGCTGAAGTCAGACGGCTTGTCTGTTTACTGAATTTTTAACCGCCTTTGGCACCAACATGAAGGTGCTACACTGTGACCAATGAAGCCTTAGATCAGGCGGCTCTATTCAGTTTCCCAAAGTGTGTATGTGCTGGATAAATGTCATGAAGGCTGATGTTTCTTGTTTAATTAAGGGCTGTAAATGTTTGGAATGTGTTGAGAGAGAGTTCTCCTAAGTCAGTTAAGTTGCTATAATTCAATTATTGCACCTAATACAAGCTTGACAACCTCTACTGTATGTACACCTGCAAGGATGTCTACTCATTCTGCCACTGAGGTCTTTGAAATCAGTACACACAGAACTGGACAGGTACTCACACAAGGAAGTGGTAGAGGAAGCATTTTCGTCCAGCAGGTCTCTCTAAGAAGTTGTAAACATCCCCCTGCATGCTAGTCTTGATGTAAGGGCTCTGGAAATCCTTTTGATGATGACGCAGCCAGCTCGAACGAGGAAGAGGCGGCGGGACAGGGATGACAGAGGGCTGGCTCTGTATGATCTGCAGCGCCGGGTCCTTTGTGTCCGCTGGCGGACAGCAGGGAATGCCTGATCCATTATTCACCGCCGTGGGGTCCAATTCCAGTGAAACAGGAGAGTAGTGGCTTCTGTCAGGTGCAGGAGCCCGTAGAGCAGAACTACTGGTCGTAGTGGAGGCTGCGAGGTCAGCATCCACCTCCTGGTCCAGGCTGATGCTCGTGCTGGCATATCCATTGGGACTATAACTTATGAAGGAGCTCCCAACCCTGCTGCCGAAGTCCCGTTGCACGTGGCACGTCGTGTGAAAGGAGCGCGTCCGTCTTTCCCCCATGCTGCCCCGTGGGAGGATGGTCCAGCTCAGAGAGGGCCGATGGGGAGGCTTAAAAGTCTTGGAAAGTCCTGGAGGTTCTGACCAAGGCTCGGGTAGAAGGAAAAAGTCCAGCAGGATAAGAAACCTAACTAGGCATGGCTAGCTACCCGCTGCAGAGAAGAGCTCTCTCTGCTGGGCTGCATGTGAGTCCATACCTGCAGTGGGAGAACAGTATGAGTCATGGAGATAGTGTGACTGAAAGCAGGCCATGCCACTTGCTATCTCCACATCTGCCATAAAAAATACAAGACTGGGACACTGTAAAGCTTAGGTTGATGAACCAGTCGCTCCGCTTTCACACAAGCAGCTGCAACATGTCTCTTTTTAACCTGGATCACACTATTTTTTTTATAAATCAAAAAGGATTTTCAGCTTTATTGTACTTGTAGCTTAAATGGACGAAGGCTGCAGAACACTGTTGTCATTATTAGTGTTACTGGATATACACGACTCCTCTGGATGACCAGTCTAATTGCTTGAAAATTAGTAAATGATTTTACTACACTGTAGTAGTACTCTAACAGGTGGCCGTTAAGCATATCAGAAGAATTTTGTTACTACAAAAATATCATCACATTAGAATCTGGCAAATATAAAAATGCGGCTCCCTTCAGTATGTTGCTTTTGAACTGTAGCCAAATTTGCATTAGAGACCTATTTCTCTTAGAGCAATGATTGAAATTCGAGGTTTTTGCTGTGTTACAATAATTGTGGTAGTTTTTGATTTAAAATATATCTAGAGAAAATATAGCACCATAGAAATGTTGAGTTCTGAAGTTAAAAAGAGAAAGAACAGAGAGGGGTTGCCATAAGAAATCATAGTGATATTTCTATGAACTTTTTCAAATGGTTAAAGGCTATAAATTACACTTTCACTTGTGATCTGTGACCATAACAGAAGTGGAACGGGCACGTGGCAGTAACAGGTCAGCACACTAGTCCATTTCCACCAGATTTTCTACTGCAAAAACAGCCTTCTGTTGTCCTTGATGGATTTCAAACTCTCTCCATGCGGTACCACAAAACGAATGCACAACATGCACTCTGCTGTCATTTCAGGGGGGAAAAAATTGTTTGGTGTGTTCCGCAGGCTACAGCAGATTTAAAGCAACTCCCGCTACAAAGTGACCTCCCTTTAAAGGTTACACAAAACATGCCACATCACAGAAGCTTCATCAACGTGCAACGGCACAAAAATTAGACTGATCACAGCTGCGGATAGCTGCAGCCACGTGAATGACTGTTTTGCAGCTTCTCTTTTAACTTACTCTCAGGTTTTTTTTTTCTTTACAGTCACAGATCAAAGTTAAAGTCAGGCACATTAAAAAAAAAATAAAATGCACGCTTATTCACAAATAAAATCAGTATATTAAGTGAATACATTAAGAATACTGTTACAGAAAACCAATGCATGTTACCATTTTAAGGCCGAATTCTCCAAACAAAAATGTGTTGAATGAAGAAAATCAATTAGCCGAGTCCAGGTAAATATTACTAAAGTTTCTATTTATATCTTTACCAACCATAGAGGAGAAGTAGATACGGACAAGCAGGTAGTTTCTGTGCAGAATGAGGTGCGAGTCAGGAACACACACTAAATATTTCTGTAACGTAAAACCGGCAAAAGGCAAAGAACCTGTAACTAAGCCAGGGCAGCCTGACAACTTAACAAAAACACTTTCCATCTGCCCAATCAAAGCCACTTCTATCCCTTCCTGCCTCATGTACAATTGATTAGTCGGTGGTTTACAGTCTTCTCTGGAGAGAAACTGAACCAGGTACAGTGATAGATGGCCGGATGTTACCTAAAAGGACTGGAAAAAAAGTCTCACAGGACAAGAGAGGGAGGCTAACTGGAGGCAGGCACCCTCTGTACATATCTGTCAACTGTGGATGGAGTGATGACAGGATGCTGCTGTCTCCCTTTAGAAAAAGTTTCTACCTTTAAAACTGCACAATCATGGCACACAATGGACTGTCAGACATGCATAAGCTGCTGTGGGACTCAGTTACACAGTATTGTGTGGCTTTCCATCAAACTGAACCAAACCTTTGCAGGGGATCTACAGCAGGAGTAAAAGGGCAGCATGTGGGTTAAAACATTTAGTTTCCACTCAACAGAAATCTCATTTTTCCTCTATTTATCTGCTAAATATAACTGTATTTTTTATTTTTATTTTTTTAATGAATAAAAAATAAGCACCGGTTGGGATCTGTTTAATGAAGCTGCATAATCAACCAAATGCTTTGTCAATATTTGCATCAATTAATGCCAAACGCTGCTGAGTCCTTAAAGAACAAAACCGATATTTCAGACTAATGAGTCAAATCTTACCTTTAACTCTAAAAAATGAAAAATTAAAAAAAATTTTAAAAAAACGCGCTCCAACTAGTTATCGGCAACAAATTTCCTTCTAAAAAAAGAAAACAAGTTTTTCTTCCGTTGTGCTTTTCATAAAAGCAAGCTCCCTTTCTGCATTTAGTTGCTTACATCAATTAAACATGATCTCCCATCGTTTACAAACACGGGTAACATGGAAAATCCAGTGAAAGCACGAGTGTTGAGTCGGCTGCTGCCTGCAGGACCTGAGTCTTTGAAGTGCATCGCTGCCTGGGGTTGGACGTGGTGCGTTCAGGGAAATCACAACATAAATGAACAGCAATTCCCTCGCGATCTTTTGTTGTTATTATTAAGTAGTCAGTTTGCAAGACGAGTTTTGTTTTTGTTTTTTTGTTTTTTTTACCAAGTATGTAAAGAAGATCTTTTTTCTTACATCAAAAATAATTCATTTTTCTAACTTAACTTTGTCACTCCTACTAATCTATAATATTATGACCTAAACCATAAAATAGTTGATATTACCTGTTTTGTAACTAACAATGAATTCAATTCCTGATTATTTCACTTTTTTTTCAATATAATATTTATTTAGTCAATAAAATGTAGAAAATAGCAATAAATGTCAATCGAAAGTTATGAGAACCTAAAGTGATGCCCTTACAACCCAGCAAGTGCACTACAACTTCCATATCACAAAAATATGTGCAACTACCTCTCAGGGTTTCTATTCTTAATTCTTTTTTATACTGAGTGCTTTTTTTTTTTTTTTTTTAATAAAGTGTACTTGTTTTATTTTTGTGTACTAATTATATTCTGTGTACTTCCTGTATTTTCATAATGTATATTTGTGTCTTTCTTTTGATTGCTGCTGCTCTCACCTTTCTTTATTTAATTCTATTTCATTTTTTTTAAGTTTCCTGTATATAAAGCTGACTCGTGAATACGCACAAAAATACCAGTGTGCCCGTACTGTAATGTAGCAGTGCAAATGGCAATTAAACTCTATTCTATTCTGTTCTATTCTTAAATCAAAGTTAAATTGAAAAGTTCTGCTCACATTTCGTTTCTCACCAAAAAACCTATTAAAGAAAATGTCTGCTTTATTTACCACCACTTGTTGCTGGCATATGGCTGTGTGTATCATCAGCTTTGCAAGGTGATATTAGCAACTATGCAAACACTTGTGGACCCCATAAGCCTCAGATTGCATACTCCTAAATAAAGCAGTGTTTAGTCAAATTACTCATGCAGACAGTGAGGCACACAACTCCTTGTTTCAGGTAAAGGGCCAACAAAGGAGCCCTTATAAGGTTCATCTGGTCATTTATTTGTTTATTTCTTTATTTATTCAATGGCGATCAAACTGGTTCTATATATTTTTAACGTGGCAGCATGACCACTGAGAGAAAGTAGGATGCTCTTCGAAAAAGATAAACAAATGTGCAACCTGTAACATAGAGTTAACAGCATAAATTAACATCATTTATTTTCAATTAATTTATGGCAGAGCATGCTGTTGGCTATCTATAACAAAAGGAATAGAAAAAACTACTTAAAACTTAAACTGCATGCAGAATCTTCTAGTCTTAAAGCTTAGTTAGGTTAATTCCATTTTCATTTCTTTGTATACACTAACATTCACACCATTGCTTTAAAGTATTGAACTCGCAGCTACAATGAACACGCTGTTGTCATAATAATTCTGAGTGTGTTCGAACTGGCTCCAACTAAAAACCAGACCTTGGTTATAGAGTATAACTAGTTAGCAAGTTGTTTTGACATCAAAATGAAGGTTTTACGAGGAGGTCTTGAACGCAGCGCATATTTTGAAAGCAGCAGCTGGCGGAGGGTCACGGTCGCGCGCTTACAGATACGACACCAGTCAGTGAGAGAAGACAAACGAACAACTGCTGCTGTTCGTTTTAGGTCAATATTTTACTAAAGCTGTTTCATTAAAACATCCTCTATACCAGTAAACTGTCCAAAAGTATACCCTGAGTTGACTCCACACCTGTGTTCATCCGCAGGAGGCACTGCACGCTCTCTGTGCGCCAGTTTCGCGATTGGAGTCGAGTGTCCCTCTCCGGTTTCCGTAGTTAACGGGAAAACATGGCGTCTCGCACAAGCAAGGCACTTCTGTCCCTAGGTCGAATAAATGTTTCTGCTCTTGGACTTAATAATGCAGTCAATAGAATTACATACTCGACGGCTTTGTCTATTGATTCTAATTCTGGGAATAAAGGTGAGTCTTACTGTCGCTGTAAAGCAGAACACGTTGTTTCAGAGACGTAGCTGCATGCTAAGCTACATGCTTCAGATACTCGGACCAGTGAAAGTAGCTGCTGACTTCACGGTCACGTCCTGTTGGTCTGAAGTTAGTATTTAAACTTAAGTTGTAAGTTGCATGAAGGATTTGATTTTTAGCTGTTATAATTGATCTGGTTTCCATATGCTATTGTGTGGGAAGTATCAGGGCTTCTCGTGGGGCTCCTGTGTCTTCTGCCTGTCCGTTAAATCACTACATGGATGCCATTTTCCCCTCAAATCACTAGAATCAGAAAATATATTTATAGAAACTAAAGCTAGATGAGATGGTGCATATGGGTCTAAAACCACTTTCTGCCTGACATGACTAGATCAGTTAGTCCTTATTGAGCTAAAACAGGAAAATGTTGGCACAACAGCAGTAGGAGTACATGTAGGGACTGTTGTGGGTGATGTAGACAGGGAGGTATTTTCCTACTTGTTCTGTCACCCTTCATTAAGTCATTTAAAGAATTAAACAGTGATAAGATTAAGTAAGACAAAAAAAGATAGGAAATGCTCACAATTAAAAAGCTTTAACAAGGCTTGCTTGCTGATTTGAAAATAGATTTTTTGGTAATTTAATCAGAACAAACTGATTGTTTGGTCTATAAAATATCAGGAAATGTTGACGGTTGTGGAGAGAGCTGTTGATGCAAAATATTATATATTGTAGGTGTACAATTAGGTTGTGATCTGATAACTGCCAAAACATATCTCTTTAAACCAGTGCCTCTGTTTTTAATACCACTGAACTGTCAAATCTTGCATTCATCTTTGTAATGACAGTTTTATGCACTGCAGTCCTACTATATTATCCTTTTCCATGTAACTGTCCATTAACTGTTCTTGCCGACAGTCTGATTACATTCTGCATTGACATCCTCAGTAATATGAGGCAGAGTTGCCCTTCTGTGTTTCCTTACATGTCGCATTAATACACAAGCTTCTCGATCATTAAATGTGCAACATCAAGCACATTTGTCTCATCTCAAACGATTTCTTCGTCTTTCAACATTTGAACAGCTCGCTGGTTCAACTGGCTCAAGAGAAGCACTGACGCTTTGCTAGTCTAAACCCAAGAGCCGCTAGGGGTGGTATAGTTGTGTATTATCCAAAGAAGTAGAAAAACCAGAGCTTCATTATGGAGGTGAAGTTAAAGCAGCAGAACAGCCAAACTGTCTTCTAACCCTAACCTGCCACTTTTGTTATTTTGCTTGGCAAAAGCAATGCTGGGAAAGAAGAGATGTACAAAATGACATAATGATCTGACACTATGGTGGCTCTCTAATGATAGGTTCTTTAAAGGTTAAGCCAACTGCAAACCAGCATTAGCACCAGTCCAGAGCTAGACCCTAGCTCATGCTGGTGGAAAGGACTGTTTGTGACTGAAGTTCCTGTCACCTGAACCCTCTATCAAATTCAATGAGAGCTTTTCCTCTCGCCATCATGATACAAAATCAGAATCAACTGTTCCTGCTCGGCATTTTTTCCCCATCAAATTATGCCCGTATGGGAGCATTTAAAGTTTTTGAATAGTTATGCTTATTTATGCTTTTCTTTTTAATTTGCACTTTCCCGTACATAGTTTGTGTTCAGTATATTGAGTTTATTGATAATACAAAATACATTAAAAGTGATAAATGTTATTTGGGTGGAGGTTTTAGAGTCTTGTGCCTGTAGATCGCAGTTTTCTAAACTTTATTTTAAGACAGTTTCATAATAAGTGTGTGTGTGTGTGTGTGTGTGAGACTAACCTTGAATTTCCATTAAATGTAGATGCTCCAGCCAGAGGTGGTAGAGGATACAAAAGACCCAGAAGAGAAGTAAGTGTGCAGCTTTTGTGTCTGATTTTCAATGCTAAAAAACACAATGCATACATTTCTATTAAAACAAGACAGTGATGGATGATTTTTATTAAAAACAAATAAATAACAGCCATCATTGTTCAGTCACCAGAATAAAAACATATTAATTTTCTCAATTTCCTCAAAATAAAGTTTTTTGCCCTCTGTGTTCTGGTAAACAGGAAGGGGCGCCCAGGACAGAAAATATGCCAGTGGATCAGGACTGGACTGCAGTTTATCCAGCAGCAAAGACCTTCAGACCAAGCTCCATCCCCCTGCCTGTGAGAATGGGGTACCCTGTGAAAGGAGGAGCTCCTCCAGAGAAGAAGGGCAACTTGGAGCTAATCAAGGTCAGACCTGATTACTTGTACAGGGGCTTGCAATGTTAGGGTTTGATGACAAAACAAGAAAACAGGCTTATCACCTCATGCAAAAGCAGAAGGGCTACTTGCACATGGTAAAAAAAATAAATAAATAAAATCTTCAATAGACTATGCTCCGTCACATACAGCTGACTGTGGGTTATATCTGTATATATAATAGTTTGTATGTCCTTAAATATACACCCTAGTGCTCATTTTGACTAGCTGAGTTAATTGCAGCTGCCCAGTGCTCTTGCAGTACTGATGGAGCACTTTTTGATCTGCTGCATGGCTCTCATGGATGTGTCTTTGTGCCCGGATTACTGAGCTGCTGTGCCCAGACACCAGCTGCTCCATCTGGACTCAAGCCACTTGCAGATCCACTACTTCGTCACAGCTGGATCTCTGACCTGCAGCCTAACGATATTGATTTCATCCTCACAGTCTGCCATGAGGGGGCTAAACTGCTGTGCATCCTTCACTTATGTTTAATGTTTGAAAATGTTTTTTTTTTTCTCATCTCAACCCATAGATGTAATCGGTCTAATCACATACTACTAATGTGACCAATGAGAAATTTATTTTCAAGTCTTATAGAATATTTTATATAATTGCATGCCTTACATAATATTCTTTCCTCAATGGATCAAAGGGATTTTGTGTTCCACTTTGTTTACCGTGCCCTTTAAAACCAGCGTTTTCTGAATTGTAGTCCTAAATATTTTTATCCAGGTCATCATTAAAATTCTGTGCTTGATATGCCAATGCTCTCTGTGATGTACTGTACATTTTACTGTATCTGCTGCATGTTTTCACATCTATTTTTACTGCCAGCTGCTAGTACGTTATACACTGGAATATGTATTGCAAACAAATGTGTGATTAATGCAACAAAAAAAACACCAAAAAAACTAAGGAACATTTACACGTGTAATTAAATTGGCCATTCATATATGCAGGTCATATTGTAATGGGACTTATGTGACTGGTGTTTAGGTCTTTACCCTCTTTGTGTGTTACCACCCATGTTGTCTCTGTCTGTTGTGGAGAACTGAAGTGCATAATGATGTGTTTTTAGGAACAGGAGGTGATATTTATTTCAAGTTTGTGTAAAATTCAAGTGGAAATTGCCTCTTGTGTCACACATTCATTAATGGGCTCATCCAAATCCTCTGTGTTTAATCTTCATTGCTGAGAGGTTAGCATTTATCCTCTGTCTCATCACTGTTCTGTAGGTGAACAGTCTGAGATTGTCAATGGCAGTACCATCATGTCTGTTATTCTAAGGAGCTCAGTTTTAGGAGTAAGGGTATCATCTGTTCTACAATAGGATGCTAATCTGTGTGAACAAAATGTGACATCTCTACAGTTTGACTTGTTGCCCTTACAAGTCCTTGCTTTGTACGTTGGTGTTTTAACATTTTACTTAATCAAGAGAGTCAAAGTTAGTGAATAAATTGTAACATAGAAGATTTGAAATCTCAAGTATTAAAAACATTTATGTGATCTTTTTGCTCCATATTGTTTCAGATCCCAAACTTTTTGCATTTGACACCAGCAGCCATCAAGAAACACTGTGAAGCTCTTAAACGTAAGTTCTTGGTGTGATTATCAAGACAAAAGATGTGTCTTATTTTGTCATATTCTTTAGCAGCATGTCATTATTGACACTAAAAATACTTTCTTGTTTAATATATGCAAAAATGTCTTTCTCTGCTGCCAGCGTTCTGCACAGAGTGGCCCTCTGCCTTGGACACTGATGCCAAATGTGACGAGCACTTCCCTATTAAAGTAGAAAGCACTGACTACGTATCTGCCGGCCTGTCTGTCAGAAACCCTTCAGCTCGTATTGTTCATCTCAAAGTGAGTTTTCCTGATGTTCCATTTGTCTTCGCAGATCCTCTGAAGAGGTCTTGAACTGATGTTTTTACTTGATAACACAGACTTTCACTGTTAGGTCAATGTATACAACATGGAATAGGGGAGACACCTGTCATGTAAAATGAGATTAGAGATTTGCAGGGATGTATAATCACCAGCTGACATCATGTCTCTGTGACTTATCGAGAGAGACGTTCATTGTGCAATGACCTCAAACCGAAGAACTTATGGCACACAGGGTGCACAGAGAGATTAGCCCGAGAGAATAATTTTACATTTAAGTATGTGCTGAGGCTTTGTTACTATTTTTGTGTTAGTTTAAGGTCTTTTTAAGTTTGTTTTTTTTTACTGTGCCTATTGTCTTTTACAACTATTTTCACAGAAAAAAAAGTAGCAAAATATTTTGGCGTAGACATATTTGCTGGGACATTTTAATATTCCTCTTAATCCCCCCTACCACTAATCCATCAATATGCAATCCTCCCCTCAGACCAGAACCTTACATGTAAACACATACGAAATACACGACAGCAAGAATCCATAAAAAAAGAATTTGCACTTTCAATGTCCCTTAAAAAACTAAAATTGTAAACTGAAAATGTAGCAATATATTTAACTTTATTCAAATGGCAATTAGAGTTTTTCCGCTGGGATCACGAACAAATATGTCTGGGGCATGAGGTACCGATTTTTTTTCTAGTTTTAAATGTAACATCAGACATGTGTAAAGGTTGTGTTTTCTGTTTACAGGATGATACTGAGGGTTAAGCAGAAAAATACACAATTTCTTTGGTGGTTGAAAAGTCCCTTATCTGGCTGAACCTTGCCTAAGACTGCTGTTTTTTCCACTTCCTCACTTTTTTTATGCTGCTTGAATTGTTGTTTACACCTGAACAACAATACTGTTCTGCTCGCCAGAACCTCTTTTTCTTTCTTGAATGTTGCACCGTGTGTGTACATGTAAATTGTCAAAGCTTTTGACTGTAAAACATGTCAAAAGAAAGCCTACCTTAGAACGCGGCTGTAGAGTAAATGGTCAAATTTGTATTTGTCACAGGCGAAAATGTGTCATTTTTGCAATGAATCACCGGCCATCTGCTCCTCTGACACATTGCCTTAGATTATATCAGCAAGGTAGGAATTAGACATTAATCCAGGTGGATTAAGCAGGAGGATAGATTGGAGAGCAAATCTCACACAGTTAAATTCCAAATCCAGAACAAGTGGACTAAGCCCCTTATTTTTAGTTTTAAAAAAAACGAATCAATCTTTAAATGATGAGCATACGTAGTAGGTTTGCCTTTAGTTATTTTTCTTGTTTATTCAGGCAGAGTGAAAGTAGAGAGAGAGAGAGGAATATCCTTCAAACTAAATCTGTGGTAGAGTTTGATTCAGACTAGACACGTGCTTCCAGAAGCACCAGACTCAACCACTTGGCCAACTCTGTGCACATCTGTATAGCCAATACACACTGAGCTCAGAAATCAGAGTAGATCACAGGATAAATGTCCACGTGTATGCTGTGTTACCTTTAAATGCATTTTTGTTGCATTGTCAGAGCCATAAAAAAACAATGTAATCAAGGAATAATCTCCGTTTCCCATCAATCATCTGTGCGAAGGGCTTAGAGGTGATTCTGGACCACAGTATAAATGCTGTGATTTCATCTGTAAAAAGTATAGTGTTTAAATCAACACAGTCAAAGCTCTGCAAAGGTTAAAAAAAACCCAACAAACTTGGTTTATATTGGGGTTTTATTCCTAAACCTAAAGAGAGCTATATAGGCTGGAGATGTGGCACGTAGTGACGTCACATCTGCCCTGATCCATTTGTGTATTTGTGCATTACAAAGCTTTATGTGGATCACATAAACTATTCCATTCGTTTCTCTTGTGGTGATTTAACCATGTCATTGCCCTCCAAGGTAAAGCTGTCCACTTTGAACCTGGACGAGCATGCACGGAAAAAGATGCTCAAGCTTGTTGGGGAGAGATACTGCGAAGACACTGACATCCTCACCATCACAGCTGACAGGTAAACACTGCCTCCTGAAAGCACACAGTGGAAAGAAATTCAAACAAATGCCCTTAAATGTCTTTGATTTTGTTTTTTCTTTCTTCTTTTTTTTAGCTGCCCACTGAGACAGCAGAACTATGACTATTCCATGTACCTGCTGACTGTTCTCTACCACGAGTCTTGGGTGAGTTGGACATTTATTCTCTTGTTTTTGCGTCGACTGAAGCTTAAGTAAGCAGATGCATCAACCAGAGTGACTGGATAAGGAAAGATACCTACCTCACCAAAACTAACCAGAAGCAGCAGCCAGACTGAATGATGAAGATGTAACTAAGTAAATTAATTTAACTTACAAAAGGACCATTAACTCATTGTTTAGCCAGACTATGTCAACATGGTCATTCAAAGATCCATCTTCTGCCCGTGCTCTACTCCTAACCGATGCTGCCTGCTGTTATCTGGGATACTTGTATCTTTTCGTCCTCCACTTAGGTCTCGCTTTTTGTTGTCTGACCTTTTGTCTTCTTTCAACAAGCATCCATTCATCTAAAGGCCAGCTGCTCTCTGGCATTACTTGTACCTACTATAACCCACTGTCACCTTCAGCGTGTTTAGCCTTTTAAGAAGGTTGAGATCAGATGCATCGTGATGGCTTATCTCAAGTACTGCACTTTGAGACATTAAAAGTATTCCAGTGCCTGCGCTAACTGCAGGATTCTTTCTAGATGTGTTGTGTGGGCCTGTCAGTGTAAAGCTACTGGAAGCAAAGATAGCAACTAAACTGTACAAGTTCTATGAAATGCATGAGTCAAAATAATGCATTTGGACAATTTCATGTAATATTTAAGCTTAGAGCTTTTAGTTTTCTAATGTTTTTCTTCTCTTTTATTTTGTGCATATCTGTTCATGTGGAGGGTGAATGATGAACAAACAAGACAGATAATTAAAACCATGATTTAACAAGGAGATTTCATTGGAAAGAGACTGATTTTGCCACAGTGGTGTGCATTAGAATTTTGTAAACATATTTTCAGTTAAACTTTATGCACTAAAAATATCGTAGTACAAAATAGAGTGTAGATTTTTTTTATTCCATCCTCATTGGTGACATTTACATACGATTAGCAACATGGCACAGTACCTCTTACCAGGGGAATTCGTGTCCATCTTACTCGGCGATCTGAGCGACTGAGCCCATTAGGGAGGTATCAGAGTTGAATGGGCAGAAGGATGGCAAACAGCAGCATTGTCCAGTTGACATTTCCCTACAGATGAGGGGAAAACAGACTCCCCTATCAGGTGTTGACCCTGATACTCATTCACATTAAGCCAACCATGCCACATCAGAGAAGTCTGCCACCAGGTCATTAGCCCAGGCACTGTTCGCACGAATTTGCAGCCAGCCACATCAAAGAAAATGACTCCCCCTCCCCTATTGTGTAACCTCTGTCTTTAGGAGCTTTTCCCGTCATGGCTTAGTCACATTAAAAAAAAAATCTCTCAGTTGGGAAAGGTGTTCGAGCCAGGAAGCACAACGCTGTCCACTGCCCTTTTGGACACACAATGGAAGGCACAGTGCTTGTCCAGCAGGCCTGTGGAAGCTGTGAGAGTGGCGTAGTGATCAGGTTGTAACGGTAGCCCACAAAGAGGCCAATTGTTAGCAGCCACTGAGGTGATTTTATCTCCCCACTCGGGGAGACGGACCTGGCCTGCTAATTCCAGTGGGTGCTAATCCAGGCCAGCGTTTGGGCTGAGTGCTCAGGGCTGCCTCCAACATGGAGAGGCGTTTACCGCTAAGAGGCACTCTCTCTGCCTTCGTGCCCAACACCTGTCCTTCTACCAAAAAAAATATAAATGTTATTTGGAAAGTAGATTACCTCAATCTGGGGAACAGATGGCCATTTGTTTACTGGCAAGTCCTGTTGACCAAACTGCTAAGTTATGTTTGCAGCAATAGACATCATGGCACGACTGTCAGCACTTGGCATTATTTCATGTTATATATTGTATCAAACACTCAACATGCCTGACTAAATTAAATTCCTCAGATAAAATGTCGCAGCCTCATTGTGTGAGGATAACCCACAGATAAGTGTTTCGTTGTAGCGCAGACTGTAGAACACGATCTAAAACTACTCAATTCAGTCGATCATCATTTCAAAGGACGCCACTGATCTACTCTCAAGTATCTACTGCTCTTCACTATAGGACCTGGACTCGATCCAGACAGGATGTTATGTGGATCAGATATGTATGGCGGTAATGATGGTCATTAACCTCAAACACCTGGACAGCAGCAGAACTGAGGCTCTGTCGCTGCCCCTGCTTTAAGCTGCTGCTCAATGGGTCGTATTGTTCTCCAGGGAACGTGATGACAGCTAGACAGGCAGCGGACGGAGAACTACATATGGAGAAATACTATCTCTGTGAGAGGGCCATCAAAGAAGGGGTGTGGGCTGACCAAGAGCCTCTCATATTCTACATCTGTTACCATAACTGAAAAATGATTTTAAGCTATGTGTTTGTTGCTATCCTACAGGGGGAAAAAGTGCATCACAATTAGCACTAATTAAGAAATGCAACTGCCATTTTACTTTAACTTAGTCTCTGGTTTAATGTTTTCTCCGTTTGTTTGGATAAATTTTCCATCTGAACATAAAGATTACAAATGTTCTGTTTTTGTCATTCTTCAGAAAACCGAGGCCTGGGAGGCAGAGAAGACCGTGGCAGACATGGAGGAGTATAGCTGGGAGGGCAGCCCGTCCCAAAAGAATGTCCTGGACATGTTGGTACGCATGAAAGTGGCCGGGGAGGGAGAAGGTGAAGAAGTGCGAGAACAGCTGCTGGGAAGGAGCGAGGTGCAGGAGTATAAGGACTCGGTCACGAGGCTGAAGAACGAAGGAGAGAACGAGAGCAGCATGCTGCAGTACAAGGAGGCGGTCAAGAAAGTCTTCAACCTCTAATACCACTGAACATACATTTTATATTTACACAAAGACAGTCATCAAGAGCAGCTCGGACCTACAACTGCAGCCTCAGATATCATTTCAGGCTCCAACATTGTATCAGTAACACAAACAGGAAGATAATCATTGTTTCAGTTTCAATACCACAACCTCAAGACTGTAGTTAGTAATATTTATTTTACAAAATAAATGTGCTGTTATGAGGCGAATGATGCAGGCGTTAACATAAAAATAAAAGTGTAACGTATGCTGTTGTTATTAAGTGTTGTCTTTGAAGTCAAAACGTTATATTGAGTCGGTGAAAGCTTTAATGAAATAGAAGCCCCATTCAGTCACTCTCCAGCCCGGCTTCAGCTCCCATCTCACTCTCGTCACTATCAGGTCGAGGAGCAGCAGCACCCCAGTGAAAGGATGCTTTCAGCAGCAGGCTGTTTAAAAGTACGTCACTCTTCTTAAAGAGTTTTGGTCCGTGCGCTTTTAGGTCAGGAGCGACCCGGAGCACAGAGGAGCAGACTGCAGGAAGGTCAAAGCACTGAAAGGCGCCAGGCAAATCTCCAGTCTGTCGACATATTGATGAACCACTCTTGAATTGTAGCCGTTAATTGCTTGGAAGTGCCCTCGAAGTCGCACTTAAGACTGGTGTGGACAAGTGGCCAATGTCTTTGAGGTTTTGGCATCAACAAGCGTTTAAAAATCACTGAAGTACGTCAAAATGTGGGCCGGACAAAAAGACATCTGTTGACTCTCTTGACGAAAGTTGGAGCTGTTGTGTCCAAAGTGTTATCTCTACAGTACTTCTGTCTGCTGACTACTGTTTCATCCCCATCTACTTACAAAGAAGCAATACAAGGCAACATACTTGCTGCTAAAATAAACCAATATGTGAAAATTTACAAATATAATTGTACAAATTCTGTTCATGTCCCTTCATTTCATTATTAACACTGTGAAAGACAAGAAAAATATCAGTTTCATCTCCTTTTCGTCCCTCACGTTCAGGAGTTCTCCTTGACCAGCACGTACTTAATCAGACGCATGGAGCCTCTTTTCCCTCTCCATGACGTCCGGTAGCGTCCCATCCTCTTCTTCTGACCCCTCCAGCTCACCACCAGCAGAACAGAGCAGCAGCAGCTCAGCAGCACCGTGATACAGATGACCACCGCGACCAGCAAGGTGTGAGCAGCCACGTGCCACCCAGGTCCCAACCCCGGCACGGGGTCCTCTCCATCGCCTCCCTGGCCTCCCTCACTGCCTGCAGTGTGGTTTCTCTCGAGGCTGCCCTTGGTCTCATTGGGGTACTGCTTGCTGCTTTCTATGCTGCCTATAAGAGTCGTGGAGGGTGGAGCGCTGTTGGCTAACTGAGAGAAGCTGGTGGTGTGAGGATGGGTAGGGTTGGATTTGGAGGGTTGTTCAGTTGTGGTTAAAAAGACAGGAAGGGTTTCAGAGCTGTAATGATCGAGGGTGGTAACTGTGGAGAACGAAGGAGACGCAGTAAAGCTAGGTGCAAGAGAAGCAGTGGAGGTGGCTGGGATTCTCGTTTGTGCATAGTTTTCTGAAGCTGGCGGAGTTTCAGTTTCAGTGGAAGACAAGGTAGTTGTGTGAACGTCTGTAGGCTGACTGGAGCTGTGCAGCGCTGCAGTGGTGGTGTGCACCTCACTCACTGTAGTGGGAGATTTAGTCGAGGGTGCAGAAGTCAGAGGCAGGGCGACGGGTGGAGGAGGATGAATGAACTGGCGCTTGTCTGAGGGCAGCGGCTCGGAGGCGTTGACTCGGCTGTAGTGGTGGGGCAGCACGCGTACGTTAGACGTGAAGTATTTTCCAAACACCAACAGATCTGGATCCACGCCTAGAACATGAAAAAATGAATGAGAGTCCTGTTTGTTGTTGTTCTGTCACAACTGGATGATCTACATACAAGTAAAGGAGAAAAAAATGCATGAAGTGTCTCAGTAAGAAGAGCTGCAGTGCATCCTGGCATTGATCCTCCAAGTCTCTGACCTCTACTGGAGGGATAAACACCATTCTTCCTAAAGATATTCCCTCATTCAGTGTTTGATGGTGGTGATGGAGAGTGCTGTCAAACTAAAAATCTCCCACAGTTGTGTTGAGATCTGGTGAATGAACCATACAGCATATAATTTACATCATTTTCATTAAATCATTCAGTGACTCCTCGTGTCCTATGGATGGAGGCATTTACATCCTGGAAATGCTCCCATCAGGATATAAATGTTTCATCATAGGATAAAGGTGGATCACTCAGAAGTACTTGGTATTGATTTGCAGTGATCCAAACATCTAAGGGAACATGTGGACCCTTTTTTATTGTCTTAAGTAGAGCATTTATGGTCCAAATATCACTATTAGGTAATAATAATAATTGATTAGATTTATATGGTGTTTTTCTTACTCAAGGAGTAACTCAAAGCGTATACACTATCAATTATTCATTCACACACATTCATTCCGATGGTAGCTACGATTGTAGCCACAGCTGCCCTGGGGCAGACTGACAGAGGCGTGGCTGCCATTCTGCACCTACGGCCCCTCTGACCACCACCTCAAAGAATCCATTCATACACATTCACACCAGGCAAGGTAGGTGAAGTGTCCTGCCCAATGATACAATGACCATGACACTGGTTACAGGGCGGAATCGAACCACCAACCTTCTGATCATTGACCGGCCCGCTCCACCACCTGAGCCACAGCCACCTCAGGTAGTAATTTAATAGTAGTGGTAGAACTATAATACTCATAATTAATTTTATTGGGATTATCTATAATAGTACGTAGACTATATTACAAGACGACGACTCATATTTTTGTTGAGCACCTACAAGTCATCACATGGATGTGTGTGCTTTTTTTTTGCAAGTGGACCCAAATCATTCCTGCAAACTGCCCTCCCACAGAATAACAGAGCCACCAGATCCCCTCACTGTAGGGGTCAAAAGATCAGATTTTTCCTTGAATTCATCAAACTAACTGATTAATCAGTGAATTAATTTTTACTTTTACAAACCAATTGAAAAATGAAAAATGACAAACATTACACAGTTTTTACTTTTACTAAGTCTCGGTGGAAGAAGTGAGAGAATACATTCACTGAATCTATGCATGAATGGCAATATAAGACAAGCTCAAATCAGACCATAAAGTACTGATTTTGCAGGAAATAAAGGCCTCAGAGTTACTTCAGTTTACATTATCAGATGATTACTGATGCACTTGGCTGGTGATGCTTTTAACTGCTGTTGGGTGGATGAACATTTTACAGCGTGATTACAAGTTCAGTATGTTAAATTTGTAATCTAAAATAAACTTTAGCTGTTATTTAAATGTAGTGGGGTAAGACACAAATTACTTCCTTCTGAAAAGTGATGCAGAAGTACATTAAAACTGTACTTTGGTGCAGCACTTCTGTAACAAGTTACTTTTTTCCATTGCTGCTACAACTAGTACAGTGGTATCAAATTACTGATTATATGATCTGTCTCTGTCAGTAGTTTATATAGATAAATAATGAATGGACTTACCCTTTGTGATGTTGTACAGAACAACGTTGCCTCTGTGACTCAGAATGCAGCTCTCCAATGTTGGACAGTGCAGGTGGAAGCAGTTCACGTTTTCTTGAGTGGTATCATAGTGAAAAATGGCCAGATTACAGGAAACTATAAGGAAAGAGAGATGATTATTCAGGGCTGAATGCATGAGCAGCGGATCAATTTACCGTTTCCAATAAATAAAACCAGCAGATTACAGGAGCAGAACTCACAGTTTCTCGTCAGACAGCAGGTGCGGCTGCATTTCAGCGCCGTCTCCTCCTGGTAGTACTTGAGAAGCTGCGCTCCTCTCCTCTGGGACTCCTCGATGTCGATGAAAATCCCCGGGAACCGTCGGATCCAGCAGTTTTTATAATAGGAGGTCGGTGAGCACCTGGACTCGGTGTGGCTCACCAGACTCAGAACCAGCGTCAGCGAACCCCATGCGACATTCATTGCGCATAATCTAAATCACACCATGTTAAACCACAATCTGGACGAAGCAGAGACATATTTGGGAGGCTGATTGCTTGGAGCTGACGGGAGCCAGTGGTCTGGTTTTACTGGTGCCAGTCCGTCTCCAGGTGTGTCACAGTTACGCACCTGCAGGAGGTGGAGACCCAGCCGTGCGTAAGGCTGTCCAGGCTGATCCACGGGCAGTCCGTCAGCCTCAGGGGCGCTGCTGGAGGATAACTCACGTCTGCTTTCTACAGATGCTATTTAATAAGGCAGAGGTGGACACAATAACAGAAACAGCCTGTCGTTGCAAGAAATACAGCCTTGGTGCATTACAACAATCAAACAATCTTCCTCAGAAAATGAAACCGCGCAATTTTAGTGCTAAATGGGAATTTCTTTTTATTCTGACTCTCAACTGTGTAAGCATTTTTAAAAAATCAGACAGGTTAGGAAACAACAATTGAAAAGTTATGCTCAGTGACAGCATTTGGCTTTTCTATGTGGAATTTCCAAAGTTATTGTCTATAGTGTTGTTAAATTGGATTACAGGAAGGTGTTCTTGTTATTTTGTCCATCCCCTGCATATAGTTTTATGGGATCATTTGTGGCATAACTATACAGCTCGTTAAGAGAAAACACTTTAGGTCTTTGCATTTTTTGTCTCATTCTAAATCCCAGCTTGCTGTATGTCTGTCTGACACAATCATCGTTCAGGCCTGAGAATTCCTGTTGAATGAATCTCCACCATGCAGGTATTATTTCACCACGTGGCATCTTGCTCCAGTTTTTTTTGTGTGTGCAAGAACTGGGCTGGAAAACAAACAAAAAAAAGGGAGAAAAAATAAAACAAGCTGTCTGTTGCAGCCAGGTCAGACATCTGAGAGTGGATTGCCATAATTGCAGCAATCTGCCTGAATTCTTTCAAATGGGATTATGGGAATACGCCTTTTGCGCCGCGGTTTGGGATTTGCTACACTTCTCTCACCTTTTGTGAGCTTGTCTCTCCATCACAGTGCCACGTTCTCGGTTTACACCTGGGAGTTGAAAGTACCTCTCTGGACAAAGAGCTTATGGAATGCAGGGCTCGTCGGTCATAACTTTAGGGGCAATAATTCTGTGGAAATGGTTTGAAAAAGAATTAAAGTGAATCTGAGGATTGCCTTCACCAAATGATTTAATGAGGAATTTAGATGACACCAAAAACAACATAGTTTGTTCTGTCAGATTCCAGAAATGGAAATGATCGCATCTTACTACATTTTAAAAAGTTACACAACATGTACACTGTTATGTAGTCATGCAGCTTTGCAGTGGGAACAGAGATTTAGAAAAGCAGCCAATCAGACCAACCAGCTGAATGTCTGCTTGTTGTCCCAGTTGGATTCTTTTCCCATAGCAGTGGGAACTTTACACCAAAATGCATTCTTTAGTTTGAAACACAGTCTAGTGGATTAAATGGGAAGCTGGCATTTTGAGGCACTACTATCCAGGCAGCACAGGCTGGTTTTCCTGCATGCTAATAAAGTCAAATGACTTGCCAGAGTATCAGAGCTTTCAGTCCAGCTCACAAGTTTTTCTATATTTGAACTTATGCTGAGGGGGACAGAAAAAGTGCAATAATGTCTCACCACCACCAGATGGCAACAGTCAAACAGTAAACAGTAGCTGTGTCTCAATTCCTACTACACTCAGTTTACTGAATGTATTGTAACTTTTTCAGTATTTTTGCATTCCAGAAATGTTTGAACTAACAATAAAATGTTACATGTCCAGATGGATGTTAATCAAACTGTGAATTGGCAATGAAACTGCCAATAAAAGACCCCTTCCAGTGAAAGTCAAGTTTTTTACTTTAACATGTCCATATCGTGTTTTTAATACGCCACAAGATATATCAAAAGCTAAATGAGCATTGAGCACCCAGGCTGAGCCTTTCCATGTACACTGCTGTGTGACAGTCTGAAAAACACAAATTCAGACTAACGTAGTTCTATACTAACCATACCTAAGGAACTAATTCTATTGGTTTACAAGGTGAAGCTTTCTGTATTCGACTTCTTCAGAATCAGTTTCCAGTTTGAATATTTATGGCTGAATTACTCCAATATTACAACATGCCATTGGGTAGCGTAGAGTAGTTTTACAGTGTTTGAGCAAAGTCATAAAGAAGCTGATGTGCTCGAGCTGCAGTGAGCGGGGAGGGGTGAATGACGACAGAGGTAGGGACTTTATAGATCTGTTCAATGTAGAGCAGAGTGACATCTAAGTCATTTTAGGGCAGGAAGTGATTATTTTCATGGAAAAACATCTAAATATGTAATTCTGATGCACAGATGTGAGTGTTCAGGGTTTAACCAATGACCAGAGGACTTTAAACTTCACAGATAGAGAGCACAATGTTGCTACAGATTTAAAACTGCAGTTTAAATAATTAGTTGATTGATAGAGCAGCATAATTTAGTCATTTATCAAGAAAAAATGCCAAACACTTGTTGGATCCAATCTCCCAAATGTGAAGATATGCATAAGGAATATATTAAAGTTTGGATTTAATATTCAGACAAAACAGATAATCTGCAGATTCCTCCTTAGTAAAGATGAACATTTTTGGCTATTTGTCTGCATTTTTGACACAATGAACCAATTAATGGATTCACCAAATGGAATTATCAAAACACTTTATGCATTTCAAATTGCAGCTCTAGAATAAATCCTTACCTTTTGGTTTACTTGGAGCTGCATCACTACCAACTATTTTTAAATCCGTTTCCTCAACGCATTGCATTGTGGGATAATATGGTGCCCATCAAAAACACCTTTCAAAGTCAAGCCAATCTAGTATGCACGCTGACATCTTTAAATATTTGTATTTATTTAGTCACCTTTTTAGTGTGAAGTGCACACGACACAGTTTGAAGTCTTCTTAAAATTAGTATGTGGTAATAAAACAAGACAGAGCTAATATGAACCAATATGAAACAACTGCTGTAATTCTGATTCTGTATTCTACAGAAACTCTTTGTGCATTTGACACCTGTCACATAGTTTTGTAGGCTGTATCATAACACTATGTTACAAAGTGCGTTAGATTATATATTTAGCCATATTTATGAAGTGACATGTAAACTTTTAAAGATCACAGAGATCTTTGAAAGTGTCGGCACAGGTAAAAGCTTTGTTCTGACTTGTACTCACACTGTAGTTGTAGGATGTAGGATTAAATCCTGCACATTTGATGATATTTATCTTTAGGTTCACGCCACATGTAGCAGTAAGGGGCAGCACGTCACAAAACCCAGCAACAGTGAGAAGTTATGTAAGAAACACTTGTATTTTCATCTGACACTTCAGGGCAAGTTACAGATACAGACAGCTTCTGTAATTAACTCACAGATCCACATCTGGTTCAAGTTAGCAGTGTTATTATGTGCCTTTTTGCTGTAGTCAGATAGTTTTCAATCAAAACAGTAAGACAATACAAGAAACATTGAACATTAAACATCAAACAAAGTGAATACAATAGCTCTCTTAAATCATTTTAGCCACTTATCGTCACAACTCTGTTAAGAGGAGATGGATGTGGCGCTGTACATAATTATTCAAATGCTCAAATAACACAAAACATTGGCACCAAAAACAGTGATATTTTATGGATGTGCAAAAGAGGGATTCTCTGTCTACTTTCTTTATTTTTTTTCCCCATTGTTATATATATTTAAGTCACTAGATGGCACCCTGAGGCAGCCGAACTCCTCTGTAGCAAACATCCCCTGCACATGCATGTGTGTAAAATAGTCTAAATTAAACACAAGCTCTAGTAAAAATGAGATGAAAAACACCACCAATGACAACTCTCTCATGCAGGTCTTGTTTGGCTCCTTTGGTATAGAGACCACAGTGTATCATGGTCCTCCTCTGTTTTTTTGTTTTCTTCTTTCCTTCTTGCCACTTTTCACACACAGCATGTTTCAGCTTCCACAGTCCCAAATCCACCTCTTCTTCAGCAGTAGTCGTGTTCCTGCACACGCTGACGCAGCCAGTGTTTCTTTGGGCTCCTGACCGAGTTGTATGTTTTCAGCTTTAAGCTTGCGGAGGAAGTAGTCCATTGTTTAGTGTTGTTGCTCACTGATGTGCTACAATGGGTCTAGAGCTGGCAAGTTCCAACTGTGTGACTGTGTCAGTCTTTGACTAGCCTGTAAATGTGGTGCTGCGCGCCATGCTCGCTAGTGGACACCTCAAAGACGTAGGCTATGCAGAGCAGGGTCTCCAGTGTGTCCCTGTTAGTCACCACCTACAGACAAACATAAAAAACACTCTTCAGTCTGGTGGTGGCAGAAAAAAAAAGCTTCCTACCTTGGTTTCTCATGTTTTTACTGATAACAACATTTTAGTCACATTTATTTTGGTTCTGTAAGTAACGATATGTGCAATGACATTCATTAGTGTTTAACATCTGAACTTTTATGTCATACGTGTCCTTATGTTTGTGGTTTTAGCAGAGCCATGGCTTTCTGCTACAGTCGTCCTCAAATGTATTCATACTCTCCCATTAAAGAAGGAAAAAAACAGCTGTCACTGAAATAAGTTGGAATTGACAAAAGTAATAATAAATAAAAGTTTAGTGAAAATCATGACCTTGCTTTTGAATTGTGGTTCAACAGAAATATTAAAAACAAACAAACAAAAAACAAGCAAACAAGCATGATGGGACCCATAAACTAATATTTTGTTAAACAACCCTTTGAGCCAATCACTGCAATCAAGTGTTTTCTGTAACTCTCAGTCAGACTTCTGCACCTGTTGACGGGTATTTTGATTTTGGTCCACTGCTCATCAGCAAAGTGCTCTAATTTGTCTGGGACAGATTTTTAAATTTTGTTTTTTATTATTCTTTTCAACCACAATTCAAAAGCAATGTCTTATTTCACAAAATTATAATTTAGCAAATTTTTATTTATATAACTTTTTTTTTTTTTTAAGTTTCTAGTTATTTGAGT